ATTGCGTAAATATACCCTCGATAATTGGTAACAGGGTGAGAGATGACAGCTAAGCCTGACACTAGCACCTGCATCCACAGATTCCCTCCTTAGGACCCATGCAAACCCAGATAACATCCTTGATGGCTGATAGCTTCCAGATCCAAGGGAAAGTAAAGAGGACCTTGATTTTATCAGGTTGCTTACTTTTATTTTTTGGAGCCAACATGAACCAATTCCCTTGTCCAACCACGATAGGAAGATCTACAATGGAAGTTTCCCAGGGACTGCTGCTGAGGATATATGACTCAGCAGCTCTTTATCTCCTGAATTCCCTGAGAAAAAACAAGCAAAGAAAAGAATCTCCCAGGAAGGTTTCTCTCCTGACTTCTCTACCTTACTAGAGGGTGGCAAGTCCCAGGAAGTATCACGAGTCCAAAATATTTTTGTCCTTGAAAAATCACTTCATTCCAGTAATCTGCTCCCATCATGCATTCTTCATCCTCTTTGGCAACGAGCACTGTTTTTTCTATTAGGTTAATGCTCACTTGGGTTTGAAATCTCAGGCTTGTCTTTGAGTCTGTCCTTCCTTTTAACTCTTTTGTGTCTCAGTCAATATTAGAATCCAGCATAATCTCTTGGACAAACCACCAACTTCTCATTTCCATTGCCACTCACTCGACTGTTCTTCTTAGTTCCTGAACATAACAACAGAGGGTCTGAGTCTCGGTTTGCAAATTCAGGTATGCAAGAAATGCTGCGTTTCTTCATTTTCTTTGAATAAACTGAATTCTGATTCAGAGCATTCATTCTGGTGGGATACTAAAAAATCCAGCTGCTATCATTTAATAGCTTATACTTCCCCACAACAAAGTTGTACAAAAGTCCTGGGTTTTTAAAAATCAAAGGTCTTTGGTTATGAGTAGTTACTCATTATCACAACATACAAGGTCCCCTGCGGGTCTGGGAACTTGGCTGCTTCAATGCTATTCTTTGGGCATGGGGAATCTGTGGCACCCTGGAATACTGTTGCCTGAGGAACCCACCTCCCTAACTACTCCAGGAATGCCACTGTGTCATATAAATATTCCCCACTTTCTCATGAGACTCACAGACCTCTATCTCAGAAATCTCTCCCTATCACTAATTTTCAAGACATTGTTTCTTCTCTCATCTTTCCAGAATTTTGCATAAACTCTTCAATGGTTAAGGTTTTAACTAAAGATAGGAAGAACACTAAATTTTAGGATACTTCTGCTGTATGCCAGGCCCAAACCCCTTGAGGCCAGAAATTAAAAATTGAGTTACCTACTAATAGTTTTACTGATCATGGGTATATAAAAATGAAAACAGGGCCGGCCCGGTGGCACACTGGATAGTGCGCCGCTTGGGAAGCGTGGTGGCGCTCCCGCCCGAGGGTTCGGATCCCACATACAGACTGGTTCCCGCTCACTGGCTGAGCGAGGCGCGGGGGCAGCGCCAAGGGTTGCAGTCCCGTTGCCGGTCCCCGGTCCGGTACGGGGGCAACACTGAGGGTTGCGATCCGTGGCCGGACACGGAAAAAAAGACAAAAAAGACAAAAAAGACAAAAAAAAAAAAGAAAACATTTCAATAAATCATTCTGCCATATATCCAAATTATGTAGTGTAGTTTTTGCATATAACCAAAGTTCATCCTACACCAGATCTTCAGGTGGCAAAAATAAAATCAACTTTACGTTATAACTCTGACCGAGGAAGACAATGGTGTTGGGTATTGCTACTCTGCTTCCTGAATATAGATTTCTAAGACAGCAAGTGTTTTTTCTGAGTCACGTAAATGGAAAGTAAATCCAAATTCCAGCCTCAAATTTCTCCACTCCTTATAATCCAACTCACAGACAAAGCTATTTCACCTGCAAACACAGTACTTTAATAATTGCCACAGGCTAAAGAATTGTAACTAACCCCTGAAAGCAGTGACAGTTCCCACATTTGTCTTGTAAACAAGCATTGTGACTATACTTTGTAATAATTTCTGAATCTTCCCTGGGTAGATTAAAAAAAACCTTTAAGGACATATTTAACTTTGGTGAACAACCAAAAGCTATTTGGAGGCAGGTCTGAGAGCTCATTTATTAAGCTGGGTCATAAATATCTATTAAAAAAAGCACTTTTAAAATGTCATTTAAACACTGGCTTATGAAGAAAATTCATATCCTTAAATTCGTATCAAGCCAGTCATCTCATTACTGATCACTGCCAAATAACTCTGCTGGGAAAATAGCATAGTTTGGTCAGGGCCCTCGCCTTGGGTCCAGCTGGGTGTGGTTCAGCATCCTTTGTAAGCAAATTGTGTGTGTTGTGGAGTTAGTGCGCATGTGCGCCAGTGTATCATTTTAGTTGTGTTGCTATTCTTGTGTTCTCTGAGAGAGGAGAGAGACAGAGATAGAGAGACAGAGAGAGACAGAAAGATAGAGATTGCCCAGCGCAGCCATGCTTTCCAACCTATGGCTCCAAGGACCTTTTGGCCAGTTACCTAGCTCGTAGACCTGCGTGAAGGGGTCTAGTGACCCAGCTTGGTGTGTGTGGGGTTTGTGACCCAGTCCGTGGGTCTGGAAGCTCCAGACCCAGCCCTAGCTTTACAATCAGTCCAGTCAGAGCAGGATTACCAGCAGGTAAAAGAGCCCGACAACTGGCGTGGTCGTGCTCGCCTAGCTTTACAATCTGTTATTGCTATTTTGTTCGTCATCAGTCTGCCTAAATTTGCCTTATTTTTTCCCTTTAAATGGATGAATTTGGTTCCTAAGGAAAGGAGAATATTTTACTAGTTGTGAGCTCTGGGAAAATTTAACTTGCATTATTTACTTCTCTTCTACTCTCCTTAAGAAACTTCTATTAGGTGGATGTTAAAACTTTGAATCTATCCTCCATGTCTCAAATTTTCCCTCATACTTTTAACCTTTTGATCTCTAGATTGTATTCTGGAAAGGGGCTCAACTTAATCCACCTCATTCTTTATCTGCATTCGTTCTACTTAACTCATTTGTCAAGTTTATTTCCATGATTCATTCATTGACAAATTTTTATTGAATGCTTCTATGATGACAGGAACAGTCTGAGGACCAGTTTTTAAATTCCCAAGTTGTTTGGGGGGATTGCAACATCCTCAGACCTAAGGATATTGAGTTCGTTGTCTTGTTTAGGGTGTTCATTTTCCTCAATTTCTAGGATTTTATTGTCCACTCATCTTCGCCATTTGACGTCATCTATTTGGGGCTGCTGGTTCTGTCGAAGGCAGCCTGCCCTGCTGAGCATGGGAACGATGGCATACTGCCACATGGGGTAGGCCAGTAACTTGCTGTCTGCACATGAGACCTCCCATCCTATTAGGATCTGTGGCTACTGGAGGTTTTGTGAGTCTTCTCTGGCCCAAGGCCCACAGTCAGTGCTTTGCCTGAGAACAGGTGCTGTTGCCACCTACTGCCCAGCTGAGGATGGGAAGAGGATGAAATGATCTAGCAGTTCCAAGCACAGCCTCCACAAGTTTTCCAAGCCCTTCTCCTAGTCTGGGGTTTCCCGGAAGCTACTCCCACTTGACCTCCAGTTCTCCATTTTTGCAAAGCCGTACTTCCCTCTGGACTTACATACCAGATTCTGTTGTTTCTCAGAAATACCTCAGAAGCATTGGTTAATAGATGGGATTTTTGTTTCACAATGCCATTAGATTTCATTTTCTTCACCATCGTGTATTTTTTTTAATTTGGGGGAGGAAGGGGAAGGCAAAAGTATTTTCTCAGTCTAACCATCTTCACCCAATCTCCCTAAAATTGGCATTTTCTTCAGTGCTGCTCAGTGGTCAGCCTATGTCTTGCAGCTTAAACCTGTCTAAGCTGCTAGACAACAGTCATAATAATCAGGAGGTTTATGTATCTAATTCCATTATCTCCCTAAAGTGCCACAAGTAAAATGCAAGGAAAGTGCTATGGAATTCAGACCTTTCCCAGACAAGTAAAGGTATCTGAGTCGGACCTTGAAGAATAGGAAGATTTGGACATGCACAGACAGGTGTGTAAGCAGAATGTTGACTAGCTACTTTGGCTTGAAACATTGAATTCATGACGGAACTTAAGACATTTAAAACTCGTGATAAGGGGAAAAAACTGTCAGATTCTTCTGCCTTTTTTTTGTTCTATAAACAGTGTATGTACAGTAGGAAAAACTTCCCAAAGATTTTTTAAAAATCTATAAACAATATCTGAGATCAATTATCAAAAAAAATATGGTCAAGTGAGAAATAAGGCCCATAAATTTCCATTAGTGTGTGTGTGTGTGTGTGTGTGTGTGTGTGTGTGTGTACATAAATGTACAGTATAAATGAAATTTACCTGTATATTTAGGTATCTATATATCTATCTCTATCTATATATATATGAGTTTCTATATATAATACATATATATAGGTAAACTTTTCATTTATACTACAAAGTCACTTTTTAACAGGCATTTAATAGTTTTTATTACAAGAAAGTTTAATATTACACTTTAGAAACTTAATAAGGTACTTTGGTGAATGGCCCATTCTTTAGATGTTTTCTGCAGAACTGCTGAATAGATTCTCAATTATGGTGGTGAGGAGGTGGTCCTGTAGGAAGTCATTTCTGAATATAATTTTTATAAAAACACTCTATTAAAAGACAATTTGTTTATTCTGGGAAGTCATAGCTGGGAAATTGGGGGGCAGAAATGACCAAGTTCGTGTAACAAAGAGGAATCTCAAATGGTGTAGAATGAATGTAAGAATTTTATCTTTTTCTTAAAGGGACATCAATTTTTAAAGGATTTAAAAATAATGCTTTAGAGGATGGTTCTAGCCTCCTAAGACCACTGCATTTTTTTCCTCAAAATATGACCAAAAGAAGTATTTTGGAAACCAGAGCTTATATCTCATGCCACAAAACATAATCTGTTCTTTACTATATGCAGTTTGGTTCCTCCACTGATCTTTTTTTTGACATTGACCTAAAATTTAAGAAGAGAAAGTATTATGAATTTAGCTTTTATTCAAAATTAAATAAGCAAAAGCAAAATTCTTAAGAAACTTTTACAAATTACTTACATAAAAGAAAGTTAATAGGGGCAGTCACAACTTTGCAACAAATAATTACAAAAGTACCTAGGGCAGCATGAATATACACCATGTCACAGCATGGTGATCTAATTGTGATATGAATAAGGCATAACTAACGTTTGCACCAAGACCAGAATTAAAAAACAAAACAAACTTTAAAAGCTTGGTTCTTACATTAAACATGTTCCTTCCCCAGATCCTTAATGGGTTTATACTATGTAATTTTTTCAAACAAACATTTCATGTCAAACTATAAATTACATAGATGGGCAGTTAATGTGAAAAGCCCCCTAAAATGTACAAACTAACTGGTACTGAATTGAGTTCTCCATTTGCCTTTATGTACAATTAAATGTAAACCATATTTTCACAGTTTTAAGTATTTTATGAATAGAGATGCACAGTACCATGTCAGGTTTACAATTGTTCCTGAAAACTGGCTCTAGGTTCTGCATCCAATGCCTGTGGGCCACTGTGATGCAAGTATTTACATAAATAAGAAACTGTGTCATTCATAGTCAATGGTCAAGACGGTTCAGCAAGAGCAGTATTTCCAACAAAGAATGATACTCAATACCATATTTTACATACTTGTGCAAATATAAGCATTAGGACAGATAAATCTGAGGCAAAATTTAATTTGCAAACAACTTGTATCGCTGCTGTTGTAAACTTGGGCAAAAAATGACCCTCGGCAAGTTCTGCTCTCTATGGCTTTTTTTATTCTTCTAAAATTTTAAAGCCAGAGAAAATGCACACATACTACCCATACGCACACACACGCACTCCACATACATACACAAAGTTCTTATTTCATTTTAGAATATGGTACATAGTGCAACTTCATCACAATGTAGAGGTTTAACACACATTCAGTGCGTGTTTTTCTGTGCAAGTTCTTAAGTGGTCTAATCCTAGTTGAAGGTATTCATTTGCAGAACCACATGATTCAGGAGGTTGAAGAAAAAAAAAAGTTTCATTACATTTCTCAAACCAGCACTGGATGTGCAAAGGCAGCAGACAATCTGGCCGTCAACACAGCCAGATTAAGGTAACCTTAAAGGGAAATCCAAGCAGTTAGTTACTTAGATTGGTCTCTAGAAAAATAGGTCAGTATATGCTGTATCTTGGTCAACCGTTCTTTCAAAGACTTCATTGATAAAACTGACAGCTGATATCGGGGATCTACAGGAAGAACTGCAAGAAGCCACCAACACCACGCAGGTCCATTAGGGGTTGCCTAAAAATAATCAAGAGTTTATAGTATCAATAAAACAAGTATTTATGTAACAACCCACCAAAAAGCTATTTTTTGAGTATTTTACTATGTGCCAGGTCCTATCTCAAATTTCCTTAACAATCATCTAAGGTAGGCTATTATTATGCCCACATAAAATGGGGAAACTGAAGCTCAGAAATGTCAGGCAAATTGTCCAAGATCTCTCAGCTCATATGTGACAGAGCCAAGATTCAAATCCAAACCTTATTCCACAACCAACACTCTTTCCTCTGTACTACACTGCCTTACAGTAGCGTTTCTCAACCACAGGCTACTAACATTCTGGGCCAGATAGTTCTTTGTTGTGTGAGGCTGTCCTATGTATAGAAGCACATTTTGCAGCATCCCTGACCTCTATCCACTAGATGGCAGTAGCACCCCCCCAGATACAACAGCCAAAAATGTCTCCAGATAGTGACAAATGTCCCATGGTGGCAAAACTGCCCCTAGTTGAGAGCCACTTTCTTAAAATACATTTTAAAGCATTAAGAAAGTTAATCGATATTTTAAAATTTCTTCAAAATATTATTGAATCCTAGAAAAGATGTAAGAAAGTTTAATTTGAAAAATAAACATACGAGGATACTTCAAAAAAAATTGTGGAAAAATGGAATTAAAAGATAATACAGGGGCCGGCCCGGTGGCGCACTGGATAGTGCGCCGCTTGGGAAGCGTGGCGGCGCTCCCGTCCGAGGGTTCGGATCCCACGTACAGACCGGCTCCCGCTCACTGGCTGAGCGAGGCGCGGGAGCAACGCCGAGGCTTGCGATCCCGTCGCCGGTCCCCAGTCCGGTACGGGGGCAACACTGAGGGTTGCGATCCGTTGCCGGACACGGAAAAAAGACAAAAAAAAAAAAAAAAGCTAATACAAATCTTTCCATGAAGTTTTTGAAGTACCCTGTATCTCCAGCAAAGATGTCCCTCTGATTTTGCAAGGGCTGACTACTGGTTATTAAAAGGACTAGAAATTTACATTTAAAAATTTGTAAGTGACCTTTACTGCACATTGAATTGCTTTAATTGGACCTGAAACACGTAGTTTCAGACTGACAAGAAGAAGTATGACAAAAGTGTTGATCTCAGTAAGCTACCTTTAGAATCAAGTTAGATTTCTACATCTGTGTATACTGTCTGTTCTCAACTCAGCCTCACTACCACCTCCTGCATTCCAGAGACGTCAGAAACTACATTTCCCAGAATCCCCTCCCCCACGTGGTTCCAGGTTGGACATGGCCAGTGAAAGACACTCTTGTGAGATTTGGAAGTTGGAAAAGAAGGCTTTATTCTCTGCAGACTGTTGCAAAGTGTAAATAGCAGCTTTCCAAGAATTCTTGAAAACCACTTGCTCTCCTGCTATAGACTGAGATGCTGGTGGGGACTCCCCAGGATTCCTAAGAATTATAGCCGCATCCCCACAAAGTCTTGAGAAGCACCATCAGGCAGAGACCTGCGGTGGCACATTTCCTTGCCTCTGTTGGTGACGCCCCTGCCCTTCACCCTACAGCTCTCTCAACTAGTGTGTAAACGCTACCTCCTACATTAAATCCTTCGTTCCTGGAATTCGTAGAGTGGCTGCTCTTGTTTTCCTGACCGAATCCTGACTTACACAATATTACTAACAGAAAACAGTGGTAGAGGACTGCATAATAATAGGCAAGGGTGATCAAGTGACAGGGCTGTATGTTGCATTTTTCTATAAGCTACTTTATTAACATTTAAAATTTACTTATTCAATTTCCTTCTTATCCAAGCCTATTTCTATCAAGTTTAATCAGATTCAGGTAACTAGGATAAATCATACATGTGGCAACTGATAATACGCTAGACAGAATGAGTACACAATTTGGAGATGGCTTGATGTTGAAATTTCAAGTTCAGGTAAAGGACCAAACTGAGATTCAAACATACTCATACCAACATCTGAAAACTGGAATGAGGGGCAGTGTGCACAGTGGAATCTATTCTCCCTCCATCTTCATATATTTATCTAAAGCCACTTAAGAAATCTATCACACCTGACCACAAACATTTTCTTCAATTCAACTCAAAATGCTTATGTCTAAAAGTCAGTGCTTTGATGAGTCTATAATCAGATTTTCCAGGTAAGGTCTCTTCTTTTATGCCTTTTGCAGTGCCTACTACACAGATCTGCTTGCACAGAAAGTGCCTGATACATGTTAATTAGATTAAGCTTATATATAAATGCTAAGTACCTGAGCAAGATCATAAGAATCATAGTTTCATGAGAAGTATTAGGCATGGAGAGACAAAAATGGATTGAAGTGGTAGGGTAAAATGTTGCAGATAAAAGGAGAGCTGACAAAGATTTTTTTAAAATACAGAAAATGATACATCTCTCAATAGTCAAAGAGTAACAGCAATAACTGACAGTCTCAAAGGCACAGTGGTCTCACAGTCACAGTTTACTAGATGGTAACATCCCATTAAATTCCTTATCCCTCCTTCTAGAAAATCTTCAGTTAAGGACTTTCTCCCTCTCTGGCACTCTCTCCTATAGGCACCTCAGCTGACACCTATTTCTATTCTCTACTTGTATTTAATGTAGTGGATACCACTGTCCTAGAGAATATGGTCATGATGCTAAAGACAGGGCAAAAAATGAAAATGAAAAAAAACTGAAAACTATACTTATCTGGGTTTACAAAAAAGTGAGACTTTTAGATGCAATATCAAAGCTATCATACCTGGAGGTTTTCCTCCCTCTCAGGCATTGATCCAAAGTGCTGAAGAATTTGGCTTCGAAATCTGTCTCTCAAATTCTGAAACCAGCTGCAGGCTTGAGAATATACCAAATCATGAAGGTCTCTGAGATTCTTTGTCTCTTCTTCATTCTCAACCTAGAAGTACAACAGTCAGTTAAATTTCTGTGTCAAATCTACCTGTCCAAATCACAACCCTACAGAAATGACAACAGGCATCATAAAGATAGGGGAATACCTATTTCAGTGCTGGATTATCAAAGAGTATTATTCTAATGCTATAATATCATACATTTTTCCTTCACATAGTGCTAATCGACTAGACTAAAAAAAGATAGCAAGGCCTGATCTCTGTCTACATTGCTGACTTAACATTGGAATATTACAGAACCCTACTAATAGCCCCCGACTGGCAGGAGTACCACTGAGAGAGTTCTGGTTCAGAGGTCTACGCAAATTTGGAATTCCCTTTGTCTTTATGGATCAACAGCTTTTGAAAGCCACGGAACAAAAAAGTTGAAGAAGACAGTTACTACAAAAAAAGGAAAGATGGGAGGTCAGAGTGCAGGCAACATGGCAGAAAGGAGTAACAGCAGGGGAACAGGCACAATTATATCTTTTACAAGGGAAGTGGATCAAAACACAAAAAACAGAAAACCACAGCAAGGAACTTAGCATATACAGCCAATAAGTCAAAAGGTAAAGAATATACGATGATAAACTTCTCCTGTTGTAAAGGCCAAGGCTTGGCTACCTCCATAACTCCTCTGTGCACCCGTTAGACTACTGGATCACCAAACTGCAAATGTAAAATTAAATGTATCAGTCTTCCAGCCTCAGAAAAGCAGTCTCACAAAACACAGGCGGGAAGATCTACAGTTAACATATCCATCTTATATTAATTTCTCTGATATATCCTTCTATCCCACTTGCTACGAGCCAGGAAGTGCTCTGTTTCATATACATTAACTCATCTGAACAAGTACCAGGCCTGACTCAGCCTTTCGTAATTCAGGGATGACTAATATAAAAACAACAAAGGGACTCTGAAAACATTTTGAGTGTAGAAGGTAAGACAATAGCACAGAAGAGACAAAAGAACATACTTTTTACTTTAGAAAGATTTGAAATGAAAATTTAAACCGAAGTTTAAAAAGCACGTGCTTTTTGCACAATGTGAATGTACTTAATGCCACTGAAATTAAAAATGATTAAAATGGTAAATTTTATGTTATTTATATTTTATCACAATAAAAATAAATTTAAATATAGAGGAGCTATACGACTAAAGACTTCTGGTTTTGGAATGACTATACAAGATTCAGTCCCCTGCTAATATATACTGGATATGATATGAGCAAATAAACATGTGACTTGTTAAGTCATAAAAAAGAAAAGAAAGCATCTGGTTGCACCCTCACAAATTCAAGGAAACAAACCATGGGCTCTAGTAAACAAGGAATGTTAAGAATTATAAGAGTCGGAGATGGAAAAAGGAACTGGACAAAAAGTAGGCAGCAATTTTAAAAGCAAGCTTTTAACGTTTTTAAAACTTTACTGAAGGGCTGGCCAGTTAGCTCAGTTGGTTAGAGCATAGTGTTATAACACCAAGGTCAAGTGTTCAGATCCCTGTACTAACCAGTTGCCAAAACACAAAACAACAACAAAAAAACTTTACTATAATAACATAACAGAACTTAAAAATTTCATTTGAAGTCACAGAAAAAAGAATAAGAAAAAAAATACTTTGATAAAAAACAAATTTAAGAAGTTTTTCCAGAATTGACAGATCGTTATTCAGATAGACTCTCAGATGAGGAAAACTTACTAGACATTTCTACGACCATAAAGACAAAGAGAACTCAATCTTCTAAACATCAAACCCATAATACTTTCAATATTCTATCCTATTGTCTATATTTATATTCATATATATATCGTCATATATATTTAGACACATGCTCAAAGAATTTTGTCATCAAACCTAATATATGAAGATGTTAATTTACATGAAATTAAAATAGGGTTATTAGTTTTACAAAGAACATTGCCTTTAGCAAATGATTCCATTAACCAAGGATGCCCAAGGCATAGACTATATCAATCAACTCAAAATTTCGACTCACACAATACTTTTGGCCTACTGCAAAAAGCAAAGCACCCCCATAGCACCTTTATTAATAAGACAGGACAGACAGTATCAGACTAATCAAGTTTATCAGCAGACAGGCAATATGGTATAACAATAAAGCACAGAATCAGGAATCAAAGAACTGGCTTAAAATCATTTTTGTTACACTACGTATAGGATCTTTGGCAAATTAATACTTTTGAATTGTACCTTCCCCATCTGCTAACTATTTCACAGAATTGTGAAAATGCCTAATGCTAACATTCAATAAATGTTGATTGAAATGAAGGGCCTAAAAAGATCAATGAACAAGTGATGGTATAAGATGTACAATTTCATACTGCCTTTCCAAAAGAAATTGCCTTCAATTTCATATTGATAGTACCACAAGTTTTTCTGGTACTTGAACTAATAGCAGTTGGCAAATTAGATACTGGAAACATCAAAAGGGCCATATTAACCCTATCTAAGAAAGGTGTCACAATATCCCTACACAGGAAAGATATCACAATATGTATACTGAGGGTGCTTTATCTGTGATGCCCTAGAGTTTTAAAAAGAGCATACAATTGTATCTATTCCATCATTAAGGTTATCTTAGGCACAGGAACAATCTTATTATACAGAACAATTCTTAAAGGATTTTATGTTTACCTTTACATCAAATTTCAGTCTCTTGATTTGACTACTACTAAATTCAATAAAACAGAGCAGAGATGGGCAACTTCTCAAAACTTAGACAGGTTGGAAATTCAATTTAGTCAACAGCTATTGTTAAGTACGTACCATACACATGTATACATATGCACACATACATTCTGGGCACTGTGTTGGCTGTTAAGCCTTTAAAAATGAAAAGAATCTAGGTTCTAGTCTTCCAAGTTTTCTTTTAATGCAGAATGATTTAAGAGCAAAATAAGAAAAATAACTTGGAGCTAATTCTCATAAGTAGCAGCGATGAGGATCTCTTATAGGAAGAACTAGTCCATGTGCCTGGAAAGTATCAGCCTCTATGTCTGTACCGATCCCTGGCACAGAGTATACCAAAGTGTGCTGCAAAAGAACATTTTTTAATACCTTAACATCTTCCAGATATTCAATGTCTGCAGTGCAATATCCATCTTTCATTCCTCTTTTTAAAACCCTAAACCGCTTTCCTCCAACTGTATCAACCACAGACCTTCCATCAGGTAAGAAATGTACATTTCTAATTTGTAACATACAGCCATAATCTGCAAAACTAAAAGAAAAACTAATTAGTACCAAAGTTCAAGCACAAGCATGCAAGTTCTCATCCATATTCAAAGAAAGTTCCAAAGTAAATACAAATACTTAAGTTCACAGAAGGCATACCTATTCTGTTTATCACTGACACACATCCCAAACTGTTTGGTTCCAGTTTGTATACTTCTTCGAATCATCAATCTGTATCTTGGCTCAAACACATGAAGAGGGCAAGGCACAGTGGGGTAGGCCATAGTACAAACAAATATTGGAACATTCTTGGTCAAGCTGAAGGAGACAAAGTTTCATCAGTATAGATCAGAACATACAACAAAAATGAGTAAAGTTTACAACAGTAATAAATTAATGTTAAAAAAAAGAAACTAATTCTAAATAAGGTGGTCTTTATTCTTGGCAAGAACAAGAATCAGCACCTCCTTCATTAAACTCATACTGATGCAACATTAATACTAAAAATCTGTTTGTGATCCTCTTATTTATAACAGTAAGTCTGAATTTTGAGAAACCAGGTTATCCTACAGAGCTATGCATCTTTATGATTCAAAAGGGAACTTATTACAACCAATATTTTATATTAAAAATCTGTTTAAAATATTTGTAACGTATGACACAGTTAATATCTGTTAACCATAAAACAATAGTTACTCTGAGGTAACAATAAGAAAATATAAGCTCCCATAATAGACGAAAAGTAATTAAAAATTCTTAGACGTTACAATATTTTCAAACTCACTATAAAAAAACAATCTGGGGAAATAACATTTTTCATTGCCAGATAGGTAGAAAGTAAGAAAAGAATAAAGGCAATGCCCAGTTTTGGCAAAGGTATGTGGAAAAACTGGCAGTGTGGGGGACACTGTGAAATTGTACAACCATATCAAAGAAGAATTTGGCTATGTACATCAGAAACCTTAGTTTTCAATAGGAAATGTTCATGTCCTTGGAACCAACAGGCTTACTTTCAGAAATAACTCCACAAGTATCTACAAATGTTCATTGTAGCACTGTGGGTAGCAGTGAAAACTTAAAAGCAGAAAGAGGAGACTAGAAAAATAAATTATGGTACATCCATAAAATGGAATACGTTTCCAGTAAAACATGATGTGTACAATATTGACATAGGAAAAATGTTTAATAAGATTACATAATAACATGAATATATGGTCCCATCTCTGTGTAAAATATAAATTTATATATTAAAGTCTGGAAGGATATATGCCAAAATACCAATGGTGATTCTCTTTGGGTTGTAGATTACGGCTTTTTTTTTCCTGCTCATTTATATTTTCAGTTTTTCTTCAAAATGACAAATTACTTAGGTAAACATAATATTTAATAAAAACATGTTTAAAATACATGTTTCAAAAATAGCTCCATCAGTAAGCGGTGAGATTCCTTCAAGCTTCTCTTCATCCCCCTCAGCTTTTTTCACGTTACTACAGATCACGACTACAGATCGTCATCCGCATCCACTGCTCTTCTGTGGACCGCTCTTCTGGGGTGGTCTGGTTATATCACTACGTTTAAGACTTCAGGACTATAACTGCAGCTTTCTTAAATCTAGCTCTTCCGGTGTTGATCAAAAAAGTTCATAATCCTTATCAGAATATTTTCTATCATAAAATCACACAATAAAATATCAATGCCATGGGAAAACAAATCAACTTATTTCTGTAAAGAAGAGATTGGAAATCTTTCTTGTATTGAAGGCCACTGGCCCATTGAAGACATCTGATGAGCACATATTGAAAAAGAAAAGTCTACAGACACAATTTTTTTTAGAAAGTGAGAAATATAAAGTGTTCAGTTTATATTTTGAATAATGGAAACAAAAGGTTGTTAAATAAAAACAGCATATGAAAATTACGATTTTGTTCTTTAGTGTGTTAAAAGAAAGTGAAAAAAGCAGAATTAAGAAATTAAAAACTTGTGAAAGAAATTTAAAGACACCCAAGTGACTGGCCAAAGAGGGAAAGATATTAAAGAAAAAGAAAGGAAGAAAAGTACAAGAAAGGCGTACTGGGCAGAGGCGGCCAACCTATCCAGCTCCACTTAGTTATCAGATTCTCTTATAATGGTACGTACTACTAAATCTCAAAGTTACCTCAGGACGGTTTTCCTTTTCCTGACATTAACTCTCAGCATTTTCATTAATTGGCCCCTAGGTCACCCCTTCCAAATTCAGTCCCCTTCCAAAATTTCAGTTGACCAGAAATCTCCTGCTAATCTCATTTATCCTCAACCTCCCCCCCCCCCCCCCAAAGTTACCTCAGGACGGTTTTCCTTTTCCTGACATTAACTCTCAGCATTTTCATTAATTGGCCCCTAGGTCACCCCTTCCAAATTCAGTCCCCTTCCAAAATTTCAGTTGACCAGAAATCTCCTGCTAATCTCATTTATCCTCAACCCCCCCCCCCCCCACCACGACACATGAGTGTTGATGGTAATCAGTGTCACTCCACCAGCTCCACCTCTCTATTTCCCAATCCACTGCCTGATGTCACTGTAGGAAATTCCTCCCCCACCTAAAATACTGCTTCAGCCCAAAGAGCTGAGTCAACGATGCCCTACAGAACATTTGGATGTTACCAAATGACCTTTTATAGAAGAGTGTCTGTAGAGCACAGGGAAACTGACCAGTATTTGTTTAAAATATACCTTTGACTAGACTGAGTTTCTGAACAAAAGACAGGAGCCAGCTTGCTGTGAGAAGATTTCTCCTCACTATTTTAAAGGGTGGTAGTTTGTAATTTGACTCAGTTAATTTTTATGAGAAGAAACTTACTGTGAGAGTTCAGCAGTTTCTTCATCATATATTTTTTTTCTCTCAGACAGTTCATCAGGCAGATACTTCACTATTAATTCTTCCAACAGCTGTGTGACACAGTACCTCCTATCTGCTAGATACTAAAAGACAATATTATTTTACATTCCAGTAGTTGTTTTCCTACAGTATAAAACAGGCAAAACAGTTTAACTGATGTATTACAGCCTTTATCACATATTTACACAGTCGATTCCGAATTAATTTAATTAGTGAGGGGAAACATTACAATGGATGATGCTAAACAAACTTGTCTAAGGCTTTGCTCAAGAGCATTGAAGATAGGGGGCTGCAACTTGAACCAGTCATTGTACATAAGAACCCTTTCTTGCTATGATCACAAATCCTTTATTAGCAGCAATCAGCCCTGCCCCTGCTATCTCCCACAACAAAGGCCAACTTATATCTGACAGCTCATGGGTACTGAAACTACTGTTTTAACTGAGAAACAAAAAGAAGATAAGGAATAAAGAAAATAATGCATTTGCCTTAGTTACTTAAGAAAAGCAAAACTATTCTCTTTTTCTTCCTAATTTCAGAGACAAAGTCTCTTTAATTTTTCTCTCAGATTTTCCTTCCACTGTCACCCACTATCACTCAGACCCTTATCAAAATATTGTTTTTTCTATATGACCCATCAACTCCAACTCTATATAAAAAGGCGTATTTACGCTATTTCCTAAATACTCTAAAAATTATTATCCTCATGCATTTTTGTGTCATTCACTATTCTAAATGATAAAAGCCATCTGTCTCACTAGCGCCTATGAAAAACCTATCTATCCTTCAAAGCCTGGCTCCAATTTTACCTTTTTCATAAAGCCTTCCCTAATTATTTTCTGTCTCCCTAGAACCCTATATTTTTACTGCCTTTAGCACATAAAAGGAACTTACTATACCCTGCACTATATTATAATATGGAAACAGGCACATTACAGCTCTGTAAATAAACTGAAAATTGCTTAGGGCCAGAGACAAGATCAGAGTGTGTACACAGACCTTTGTACAGAGAAAATGTCCAATACATATTTATTTAATAAAATTAGTGAGGAAAAACTCTTGGGGAGACAATCATAAGATAAAAAGAAGCTATCCTTTTACTCTTACATATAATCCGTAGAGCCAGCAAAAACAAAGGTTTCATCATTATCTAATGAAGAATAGATTAGGAAATGCAAAAGGTTGGGAAATTGGTCACAGTAGTGCTTTTCAAACTTTAGCCTGAAATCAGGGCTTGTTAAAATACAGATTGCTGAGGTTCACCCCAGAGTTTCTGTTTAGTGGACATGGAATCGGGTCAGAGAATTTGTATTTCTAACAAGCACTCAGGTGACAGATACAGCTGGTCAGGGGAGCATACTTTGAGAACCACTGGGCGATAGACTGGAGAGAGGTATCTTTGAACAGATAATATGTACACAGATAACTTAAGAGTTTATCACACAACTAATCAAATTATAGACATTATAAAAGCAATCTTATTACCATTTTCTATTACATTAATAAAGATGTTTGAAATTTAATGCCCATGTAATTGAATTTGGGGAAATTCGGCCTCTCCTACATTACTGATAGGAATCTAAATCTGTAACATTCCTGGGTGGCTAGGCAAGCTGGCAATTGGTTTTAAGAGCTTTATAAACATATGGCCTTTGATCCAGTAATTCACTTCCCAGGAATTTAACCTAAGGAAATAGTCAAAGATGTATACAATCATTAATTTAAAATAACATTCACATAAGTATGGTATATAAAAAAAGAGAGAAACAACTGACAACACCCAACAATAGGGAATTGTTAAGTCATTGGACTATTATGCTGCTATAAAAATCATGTCTTTTAAAAGACATTTAAATGGAAAAAAGTGAGCAAACTAAAATGATAAGTGGGAAAAACGTAAAAATACAGAGTACCAATATTTTTTAAGATTATATATTATAGGGCCGGCCCGGTGGTGCACTGCTACAGTGCGCCGCTTGGGAAGCGCGGCGGCGCTCCCGCCGAGGGTTTGGATCCCACATACAGACCGGCCGCTCACTGGCTGAGCGAGGCGCGGGAGCAACACCGAGGGTTGCGATCCCATTGCCGGTCCTGGTCCGGTACGGGCGTGACACTGAGGGTTGCGATCCGTTGCCGGTCACGACAAAAAAAAAAAAGATTATATATTATATATTTAGATTTTACAAATTATATTACAGAAGGTACCTTCAAAGTTGGACACAAAACAGACATTTTTAAATAGTACATTTTAAATAGTTAAATTTTGAAATAATATGCTTAATATATTTTTCTTCAAACTCCACATATTTTTTAAGATAAAATATCTCTAAATTAAAGTAATGGACCTAATAAGTTAATCTGAAAAAAGGCATAATTATTCTGCTAGAGAGTATCTATAAAGTCTGTAAAAACAGCATGTTTGGTGTACTTCACCTGAAAGCATAGAGCATACTAGTTGAAAAATATAACTAACAAATTCTTTAAGAATAAGTTTATCTTATGTTTCTTGACTTTGCAAACATTCGGTATATGGTTTTGTTTTACATATCATTTTGTTATATGTATAAGACATATATCATATGTAACAATACACATATGCTATTATGGTATCTATGCAGAGTTGGGTTTTCTATACAGGAAATAGTAAGTATATTCAAAATAGTTTTATTAATTTTTTATTCATATTTGGAAGACACTTTTTTCTTTAAACAATCCTGTCAATCGCCAGAAACAGAATCACTTTCCCTGACCAGTGCTACAACTGCAATTGCCACTCAGCTTCATAAGGCTTTAGTTTCACCTTAGGAGATCGCCAGTCACTCAAGCATGATTGGGTGGGTGCTGTCCTCCCATCAGACACAGAAGACACCCACTGAGATCTAGCTATATTCCTATCACAGGTTATTTGCACTGATCACTGACTCTATGAGAAAGGATGTGGGAAATCTGTGCTTCCCTCTCTTCTTTCCAGTCTACCACTTTCTAGAGTTGCAATGTCTAATGTGGTAGCCACCAGTCACATGTACTTACTTAAAGTTAATTAAATGAAATTAAAAATACAGTTCCCCAGTCACACTAACCACATCTCAAGTGGTTAATAGCCATGCGTGGTTATTGGCTATCATACTGGACAGCAGATATAAAGCATTTCCACCAATGCAGAAAGTTCTACTGGATAAAGTTGTTCTAGATGTGAAGGGAGCTGTAATAGGCCTCAAATCTGGCCTATTATTGAGGATGGAAAGAAGAGAAGTGGGGTTTCCCCAATACTGTCATCATCAAAACTGAACCTATCTTTAACCATACTCCCTTTTATTAAAAGAATGTTGCCAAATTTAAGACCAATGAACAGATACATGTACAAATACTTACCTCTTTTAAGCTTTCTTTGCAAAGGGGACAATATGGTGCATGATCTAAACAACGCTCAAGACAATTCTTACAGAATGAATGTCCACAAGGGGTTGTTACTGGCTCAAAAAACAACCTGAAATAAAAAATACATGTTAGTTTTCACATTTAACTATCCATTGGAAAAGCTTGAACTAATAATGGAACCATAACACTAATCTCTCTTTAGAGAAGGAAGAAGGGCCTAACAGGCAGGAGAGGAGAGAAGGGGCAGCAATAAATGTAATAATACCCTCTTGAACCTTTTAAAAGGTCTTCACCAACAGAGATACCATGCCCAGGGCATAGAGCTGTATTAACACAATAGCCACTGGACACGTGCAGCTACTAAGCACTTGAAATGTGGTTAGTTCAAACTGAGATGTGCAATAAATGTAAAATACACTTCAGATTTCAAAGATTTAGTATAAAATAATGTAAAATATATCAACGTATCATTAATAATTACTAATTAGCTTCTGTACAGCCTTTAGATTCCCATTTAATCATCAACTTAAAAATGGTTCTCTTAATAGGCTTATAAAAACCTTACTATATAAAATTCATAAAAAAGAATAATCTAATAAATATTACAGTTGAATCCTAAAGAAATATTAGGCTTAATACTAAACGTAATACTCAAACAATGTGGAAAAACTAATTTTACTTACTTTACAATTATTTCTTGAAACGTGATACTTCTGGATTTCTTAGGAATATTGTTAAGAGTTATAAAGGTACTTTAGAAATCATCTGGTCTAATCCCCTTACCTCACAGATGAAGAAATTAAGGCTCAGACTTAAGAGACGTGCTCAGTAATACAACTTGTACTACTAGCCTAGTCTGACCAGCACCAGGCCTCCTGACTCTTCATGAATCCTTTGATACTACCACAATTTATGTAAATGAGAAATGTTCTTTCAAATATTCCAGTCTTTTAGAATTACAAGCATTCTGGAAATCCTTATCCAATGTTACTTAAAAAGGATTTTATGGTTCATATACATAAACAAGATAGACTCATATACATAAAATATATAATTAGAATTCTTGCCTAAATCTAAAAGCATGAATACATCCAACTTTCAATAATAATACCTATAAACTTCATAGTACCTTACAATTTCCCACAATCTTTTTTACATAAGCCATTGGACTCTCACAACACTGTGATATAGACTATGCAAATAATGACCCCATTTTCTAAATAGGGAGAACTGAGGTTCAGAGATTCAGTTGTTAGCCCAATGTACAAAATAACAAAAACTCCTATCTTTTTAGTCCAGTATTCTGTCACTTTATGCTATGGCCTGAATGTGACCCCAAAAAGCACGTACTGGAAACTTAATCCCCAATGCAACAGTGCTAGGAGGTGGGGCCTACTGCGAGGTGTTTAGGTCATGAGGGCAACACCCATATGAAGGGAATAATACCCATTATAAAAAGGCTTGAGGCTGTGAGTTCCATCTCTTGCATTCTCTCCTGCGTGCTCTTCTACCCCTCTACCCTTCTGTCATGGGATGATGCACCAAGAAGGCCCTGACCAGATGTGGCCCTGCAATCTTGGGCTTCCCAGACTCCAAAACCATAAGCCAAATACATTTCTGTTTACCATAAATACCCAGTCTGTGGTATTCTGTTATAGCAGCATAAGATACAATATTGCCTATTATTACCTTTATTTACACTGTATTTTATTTATATTAATATAATATATTCATTTTCTATAACATTTTATATACTTACCTCATGCAGAGAGAACACTCAAAATCTGAGACATCTATTAATTCTTCTGGGATGTTGCCATAAGCTAATGAAAACATGCAGACTTCATTGGAAGTTTCTAGCAAAACAAACAGGGTTTTCTTCTTTAGGAAAAAGTTTAATGGCTATTCTGAATAAATAAATTTATTTTATATAAGATTATAGTGAAATTTTTACCTCCTTGTTTTTTAACCTTATTTCTTCCATCTTCATTTACAATCAAATCCTGTTCTAAAAGAGACAACTTTCTTTTCAGCAGAACACCTTTTTCTTCAACAGAGAGTAAAGGTTCTGAGGACACTCTTTTTAAACAATCCTCTCTGGCAGGCATTTCTGCTGAATTTATAGCCTGTGCAGACTGAGCACGGCTTAAGCTTCCTTTGACAGGCTCTGCAGTGACCTCAGATACTTCTTCATTCTACAAAAATACAATAAACAAAGCTAACCGTAATTCTTTACTATCCTTTATTCCTCCCACCAAGAATTAAACATGAAATTTCAACGCCTTATAATGTTCACCTTAATGTTCATTTAACAGCACTTTCAATTCCAAAATCCTGGCAAGTAAATGACTTTTGCTAGTACTTATACAGCCCTAGAAATAAAGCCGATTTATGCCACAATGAGGTTTAAAAGCAGTTATGCTAAAATAAGTATAGTTGTTCCTACCCTGAGAAAACTAAAATAAATATAATTCTCTACATATTCTAAGAGACTAAAAGTTTTCTGACATTTCAGGTGATCCAAAAGTGTGATTAATGAGCAAATATTTTACATAAAAGGTGTGAAAAATAAAAGCCTACAGACAAAATCCTATTAAGACAACTAAACAGGTTAAAAGTATTTAAATAAATTCTAGTACTTGAAACTAAGAAAGTGAAGATCTTGACTTGTAAAGAAATAGATGCTAAACCCATTGTAATCTCTTCTAACCCCTTACCTGCTTTGGACTAAGCTCACTGGGAAAGTGAGATTCTTCCATGACTGAAGGGAAACCAAAAGGTTTATTTTTAATACACGGTAATGCATTCCAGGAAGATTCTTTCAGGTCTTCTTTTAAGTTTTCAGGAGATAATAAATCACACAAAATCTATAAGAGAAATATTATAAAAGTAATGGAAAATATAAAATTCTTGGTTAAAAATATTTAATATATTTACCTAGTATTTAAGAATTTATAGAAAGTCTGTAGCAGATACTATTTTTAATGAGGAGAGTAACCGATTAGGTAATATAATAAATTAAAAAGTCTTGCATAACCAAAGTGTGCCTTAATGGGGTCAAATCACCTTAAAGAAATGATTCAAAACTTTGAAAGGAAGGCATGGGAGTGGTTAGAATGATGACCTGAAAAGGTACCTAAGGTAAAGGTTGATCTTTTAATGTAAGAATTATAAAAAGAAGAGATCTTAGTGAGTTCTGTCCCGTCAAAATAGTTTATAGTTGCCACCAATGCATATTTTCAGGTTGGTGTTTATGTGAACAGTGTTTATGTGAACTAAAGCACTTAGACCTCTAACTACAAAACTCTAAAATTCTCTGTATTTATATTGAATTTAGTTTCTCATTGAACAACTAACCTGAGTAGGCAGTCACCACTGCCCAGCACTTGGCTGGGGAGCACCAAACGGTAGCTGCCCTATATTTGCTGGGAGTTAAACTGGGAAACAGCTGGAAAATCAAAATTTCTGGGTGCTTATATCAGGAACACACCTAAAACTCTCAAAGAAACAGGGTAGGTTGATAAGGAAAGAACCTCCCTAGAAGAAAATGAGAGGAATTCTGATTTTTTTTTTGGTTGTCAAAAAGCTGTATTGGGGTTGGTTACTTGCTTCGTTAAAGCGTGATGCTGGTAACATCAAGCTCAAGAGTTCAAATCCCTATACCAGCCAGCCGCCAAAAAAAAAAAAAGCGGTATTTATGCAGAACATTTCTTAAAGTCTAAATTTGGAAGTTTTGTTTTTCTTTCAGCTATATTATCTCTCAAATACACAAAAATCAGAATTCACAAATCATTATAAGGAAATATATATAATGTCAATAAAGGTGTGCATCTTTGGTAGGTGCTCAAGCAATACCCCATTTAATTAAACAGACATTTTAAAAACTATATATTTTTATATTTTCTGTAATTTAAAAAGTATATATATTTTTATATATATTTTATATATTTAAAAATATATTTTTATATTTCCTCTGATCTTAAAAAACCAGTAAAGTTGCTGGGTTCTACGTTAGGGTTCTAGGTATGTGTTTAATACATTTTTTAAACACATAGCTAGAAATAGAGTTGCTGGGTTCTAGGTTAGAACAACTTTACTTGTTGGTATTTACCAAAGAGATGTAAAAACGTATGTCTACAAATGACTCGTACAAGAATGTTCATGGCAGCTGTATTACAACAAACTGGAAAGATTACAAATGAAAATCACTACTACTGAATACCATAAATTGTGGTATGTCATCAAATGCAATACTTAATCAACAATAAAAAAGGAAAAATTACTAGATGTATCTCAAAAATTGTTATGTTGAGCAAAAACAGCCAAACACAAAAAAGGAGTACACACTGTGTTATTCCACTCATGTAAAGTTCTAGAATAGGCAACACTAGAAATATGAACAGTGTTTGCCTCTGGAAGCAGTGGGATGGAGGATTTACTCCAAAGGAGATGAAGGAACTTTCTTCAGCAATGGAAACATTCTCTATTTTGACTGGGGTGCTGTTACATGGGTGTGTACTTTTCTCAAACTCAACTGTATTATCCATGCATTTTATTATATATAAATTATACCACAATTTATAAAAAGCACAATGGGGAAAAACAAAATATTTTAAAGCAGTTAGAGAAATATAGGATGTCTAGCAGCATGGAAAATGTACAACTCCAGAAAGATAACACTAACAAACATGAAAGTCAGAAAACACACAATAGTAACATTTTTTTGTTAAATTAGTGGGGCTAGCTAGCATGTACATACAAACAAACCTCATAGAGGATATACCAATGTCAGCTGGATTCCTAAGAGAGTTGGGATCTGAGAAAAATGTCAAAGTTCTCATACTTCAGGGTACATAAGAATCTCCCGGGATGCTTATTTAACTATTGCCCCAATTCCAGAGATTCTGATTCCAAAGGCCTGTGGTTAGCGGGGCCCAGGAATCTTTTATGCACTCCTGCTGATTCTGACAAAAAGCCAATCTCTTTTGAGAATACTGATGAGAACACCATGACTGAGACCCTGAATTTGTATTACATTAGATTTTCTCAAAGAATTTTTCAAAGACCCTATTCTTTCCAGATGCTCTATGAATAGGTCTGACAAGAGCTGAATGCTCAGAATGCTGTTTTTTCAAGCCAGCATATCAAAAACCCTGAGAAGTTCTGAAGAAACCTGTTCAACCTGGTTTAACTCAATGTTTCCCGAAGTCATTTGATAAGAAAACCCCTCCCCTTTTTTTTAAAGTAAATTAGCACCTACTAATACACAACAGAATGAACTTTAGAAAGTGATATAATGTAGTATTGAGAAAAATAAAGTAAAACAAGTTGACTGGGGCAATACGATTGGCAATCATGGAAAGTAAGCCAAGTTTAGACCTGAAGTGAAAGGGAAAGGCAGGCCAATAAAGATTCCTGAGCAGGAACATCATGACAGCAATTGTGTAATTAAGGACCATCAGTCTGGCTCAGATTGAACAAACTCTTAGGGAATCTCAATTAACTAAGCAAAAATATTGCATTGAAATATCTGTGAATGGAATGTTTTGATTTTACTAAGAACTCAATAAACTATATGAACCTGAGAACCACCTGTCAGATTACACCTAAATTAGACTTATTTACTTCTTACATTCTTATTCCAACTTTCTAATTAGCATTTTTATAAAAATCTGTGTCTCAGCTCTGCCTTGAACTAGTATAGTTGGTAAACTGATTACCTTTTCTACTTGCAGCTTTGCAGGTGCAAAATCTTCATCCAGAGCTAAGCACTGAAGAAACAGTTGTAAGGCATCACCTAGAAAGCCAGCATCAAAGAGTACTTTTCCTTTCCTGAAGTAGACCTTCAATAAAAGGACATATACAAAACTTTGATGAATAATATTATTTTTTTAAAAAATCATTATCAAGTAAAGAAAAAAAACCAATTGTCTGCTCAGAAATGCTGATTTTGAAACTCTGAATGACTTTGAGGCCAAAACATTTTAAAGGCTTATCTACACACGACTTTGGAGAAGCACTAATGTCTGGGAACTGAGGCCCAGACAGTAAGTTGCCCAAAGTTCCACAGCAAGTCAGAGCTTGGCAAGACTAGGAATACCATGTTACCTAACTTTTAAGAAATTACTTATCTAAAGATCACTGGTTTAATAACAGCTGTTTCAGGGGGGTAAAAATAATATGTAGAATTATACTGACTTTAAGATGCACCAAGATTAAAGAAAAATTAAAGTGTGAAAAAAACTATTCATCTTAGAATCAGGGCAATATGGTAAATGTCTTCTAAGTTATTAGGAATGTATGTCTGCCTCTGCTATTTATTTAAAAAGTACTCATAGACATGAAACTTTTCAAAAATCCTTAGTTTGTCTTTTATTTTTCTCCTTCATGATATGTGTTCAACAAGTTCTATGGCAAAAATTGTAACCCTACTACTTATCATTAATAAACCCCAAATTCAGTTTGTGGCTTAGTCTACCAACAAAGTGTCAACTGGTAAGCTTTAAATGTGCTTTGCTTATGTGTTTAGAATAAATGTGGTTTTAAAAGCCACAGAACCATTAGTATTAAATAATATCAGAGGAACCCAAAGAATATTCTGTCAACCAGTTTTTTAGCTGCCATTTCAATGGCTGAAGAAAATCACATTTCTTTTATTTATTTTTTTTAAAGATGACCAGTAAGGGGATCTTAACCCTTGACTTGGTGTTGTCAGCACCACGCTCTCCCAAGTGAGCTAACCGGCCATCCCTATATGGGATCCGAACCCGTGGCCTTGGTGTTATAGCACCACACTCTCCCAAGTGAGCCACGGGCCGGCCCTAGAAAATCACATTTCTGATTACGTCACTTCAGTGGTAAGTCTAGAGGGTTCTTCTCTTTTTAACAGTTTTAAAGCTATCCATACCGATCATTGCCATTTTATTCTTAATATATATTTGCTGTGTATTAACCAATCATGCCATCATGGGATTTTGTGTCATTTTCCTTATTAATTTATAATTTTTAGGGCATCTTTACTACACTGTCCTCAAAGGCACAGTTTTGAATGGAGGAAAAAAAGTCACTTTAAAGAACACATATGGGAGATGGAGTGATTTGCCCTGGCAATGTGATAAAAAGGAGAATTAGTAAACTGATGTGTTAATACATTCTTTGAGTCTTTTTAAAAACTGTACGGGCAAAGCAATACACTTGCTTTGCTCCCATCTTCTGTATTAAATTATTGCCTAATTACCTATAATGCCTCAAACAATTTTCCAGCCTCTAGGACCTATCCTTTTTCCATTAATAAACCTCCATCAAAGTCCAGTTTGGATCTACCTTCACAATATAGCCAAGTTGTATTTCTTTGTGGAAATTTTGTATAATAATGTCTCTTTTTTTCTGTGCCATGAATTCAGTTTGCTCTTTAGCTATGAAATAAAGGTTTCTTACAATTTAAATTGTCAGATGATATTCATCCACTCAAACTATTGGCCCTAGATTCCTAGAATGCTACTATTTAAGTCAACCATCCATGTTGTTAAAACCTGTAACCATAATTGAATGCATGTTCCCTACAGATAGTTTTAAAATTTATGCAAATGTAAACAGTAATTTTACCTCAGGCCAATTTGGAAATTGAAAGAGAACTGCGTTTAAATCTTCTATGGCTGCTTTAAACTCTTGGAGACCGGCATATGATTCCGCTCTGTAAAATTTTAGTGTCAAGTTGCTGGGCTCTGAAATAAATATTTTATAAGAATACATTATTTTAAAAAGGATATTGTATAATCCAAAAAGTATTATCATACTAGATTAAGAAATGATTTAGTAATTCCAGAGTCAAGAACTGTCAAAATCAAGTTTATGAACCAAATACAGTACAGATGCAACCCATTTTACATGTTGATTCTTATCTAAAGTTATATCAAATCATTATAAGTAGAGTATTTTAGTGAAGAAAATTGTTTTTAAGAATATTGGAAATATTTTTATAATAGGAATAATCACCCCTAAAAAATTAATATTTTTTGAAAGGATAGTCTATAAAGACTACAGACATATGTCTTAGACGTTTAGAAGATTTGCCTTTTTGTAGTAAATCTTATTTTTTATATTCTATTTTCTAAATCCTCATTTATGAAAATGACCATATGTGCAACTATTGCACATGGAATTCCCACAGTGACAAGGGACTGAACAAGGCTCAATCTTCTGAGGGTTTATAGTGGTCTTAATTCTGTAAGAAATGGATTGAGTCAGCTTTTAAGATGTCAAAATTTTAGTTCCTGCCACTTAGTAAGAATGGTATTAGACTACCTGAAAATGTATTTAGTTTCAAACACTACTAAGGAAAAAGGCTTTGTCATTAATTCCACTATCCTCTACATCTGTACTTGAGAAACCAAATTATTGTCCTATGGCATTCAATTTCAGACACTTAACTGGTTCACTTATATTACTGTAATCAGTTACTACAGGTACAGAGATTCTAAAACTATGTCTAAGCAAGAAATTAATTTTCAGTATATCTACAGAAGATGTTAACTTGACTCTTTAAAAGTTATTCATCTTTGAAGCTGTCAAAAACTTATGCTTACAAAATAAAGCATTCATTGTGAGAAGGGCATAAACAAAATAAAGCATTCATAGTGAGAAGGGCATAAAGACCTTTAATGCCTAAAAAATAAAATTTAATAAAACTCCTCAACAGCTCCCTGGTTTACTCCAGAGCTTTTAAACCACTGTTCTTCTATAGATAACTCTCACTTTAACAATTGTATTAAACAAGACTTTTTCAGTTACTGGTGCTTGAGAATTCAAATTATATAGTCCCCTCAATTTTATATCACTGACAATTTTCAAATAAAAATATTAATACTTTGTGAAAATATTTTCCCTTCCTAAATAAAGACATCTAGAATAGTTTGTCTTTTATTTCTAAAAGCAATATAATTGAAAATCATTACCTCCAAACAAAACTGAATAGAAATCAAAAGCACATGATTAATAAATCAAGAATTAAGAGTTCCTAGCACAAAGCTAGACCTGTAGGCATTCAAAAGTTTTTTACATTATCCCTATCCTTGAAGAGCTTACAATCTAATTAGGGAATTTTTTTTTTTTTTTTTTTTTTTTTCCTATTTGCCTTTTTTCGTGACCAGCAACGGATCGCAACCCTCGGTGTTGCACCCGCACCTCGCTCAGCCAGTGAGTGGCCGGTCTGTATGTGGGATCCGAACCCTCGGCGGGAGCACCGCCGCGCTCCCAAGCAGCGCACTGTAGCAGTGCGCCACCGGGCCGGCCCCCTAACTAGGGAAATTTTTATTGTGAAACAGCATTGTATAATTGTGACTGGACAAGTACAACTAGAGTTCTGACAATAATGCATGCCAAAGTAGTCTAAGAATGACTATTCTTATGGGCTGTAAAGAACTGGGCCCAAGAAGTGCAGTTTTCCACCCATAGCTGGGGTGCTTCCAACAGCATCCCTGAGACAGAGACTCTGCTCCAGCACCTCCAGTGACAGGGAGTTCACTATCACAACAAGCATCCCGTTGCATTTGAATCCTTATTGGGCTTTTTTTTTCCTCCAAATTTTCTCTTATACAGCAAGTTCTCACTGCTTTATACTTGACACAATGCACATTTAGAACCACTGAACATCTTCCCTTTCATACATGCCTTCACTGCTCAATCACCTTCATACAGCTACTTTAGGGTGGCACCGAAAGAAGTAACTGAGAAGACCTATCTTCAAAAAAAACCCCAATTTATAAAGTTTCTGCACTCACTCTGTTAAGACATTGCCAAAGGGGATTCTAAATAGTACGTATTTGGATGAGAAGAGAAGGTGTGTACACTAAGAAGAGATGAAGAAAAGAGCCAGATTTTAAAACTCTTGCTCCCCAATTTGTTGTAGGTAATGCTTATTGAGAATTTTAGATGTTAATGAAGTAATTATTCTGAATGACTCTATTAGGGGAAAAAAAAAATCTCATCAGGTAAATCCAAACTTCCAATACTTTTTAAGAGATTGAGGCCACCCCACTTCTTTACTTCAAACCATTCCTAATTATAAAAAGGAGACTAAGAAGCTATTTGAGGCCCTTGGAATAATCAAAGCATACATAATGTCACCTGCCATGTAAACCTCCAAGAAAGGAAACTGAAAAACAGTAGTCAGCCCCACTGTATCAACTTAAATTTGAGGGAGTCAATATTTACTTTATGCTCTCTACCTGACCTTGAGGATGCAAGTGAACTTGTCACCTCCTTGCACATACCACCAGGGAAGATCCTGTCTCTCAGTCCACTATTGCAGGTTATCTATAGTAACTAGCAAGTAACTGGCACAATATACTCCTACAATTTGTTGAAAAAGTGAAAAAATACAAAGATGATGTGGTTTGGGCTAATTGTATTGAATATAATGATTATGGGACTAAACTCTGTGATCTTATTCTAAATCACTTAATATCTTAAGTGGTCTTGTTTCCCGGTCTACCAGGACCAGGGACAGATCTGCTAGCTCTGTTATGATTTAAATCCCTGAGCTTTATCTTCAGTCCTGATTTTTCACTCTAACTTCAGATTCATCAAATTTCCAACTGCTTGCTATACTTTCCCTAAAACTCAGCATGTTCTCCACCAAAAAAAAAAAGTGTTTTCGCTATATTCTCTATTAGTGACACCACTGACTTCCCAAATCAGAATTATCCTCACCTTTGTCAATTTCACATCCTATGATATTTCTCAAATCTGTCCTTCCTCTTTTCCAATCGTACTACTTGTAGCCCTAGGTTAGGCTCCCAACATCTCTTTAGTACTGCTGCAATTGCTTGCTAACTGATCTTGCCTTCAAGGTTTTCCTTAGCTATATCCTCATCATCCATAAGATAAAACAGGTATTATTTTTCACAACATACAAGTTGCTCCATGCCTGGATCCTGCCCATCTCTCCAGCCTTACTTCTTATTATTATCAACCTCCCACTTTAAGTCCCAATAATGTTACTCACCCTATCCTGGTATACCACTCTATTTCACATTCCCTTCCTTGCTCATAGAGCTCCTCCTTTGTCATACCATTCCTTATCCACCCCTCTGCTTTGTCTGGATAACTTCTCATCCAACAAGAATCAGCTCACCAATCTCCTCCTAAGACGCTTTCCTTTGAGTCTACCTCCACACAGTACATCATAAGGATCAAGGGCAGAACCCTTTAAGTGGAACTGCCTGGGATCAATTTCTGGCTTCTCCAACTCTCTGTCAACTTGGGGCAATTTACAAATCATCTCTGTAGAGTATGCATAAAGCAAATGTACTTCACAGGGCCTGGTTTTCCAAAGCCTTGCAGTTTCAAACATTGACCTTGTAAAGGACAGGAAAATTTCCCCAGGCTATACAGTCTCTGTTGTAAGATAAAGAATTATAACACAGCAAGGTTGCTGGCTCAAAGACAGGTTACTGACTGATATGTAAAGATACTGGGAAATTGCTGTAAGAAGAGAATGTTTGCTAAAATCAAGTTTTTGTTAGTGGATCAACTTAATTGCATTATAGAATGTCACCTTACTGAAATGTTACCAGCTTCTACTGTTAAACTTGTTAAACTGTACTTAGCAAAAACCTCACCTATGTTCTCTTCCTGTAACTTCCTGGTCCGGAGAATAAATGCAGGAAGAGAACCCCAATTCGTGGTTAATTTCCCAAATGGAAGGAATGCCTCTATCTTGAGGGTTCTGGGAGATTAACCCCTTCTGCGGGCTTCTCACAGCTCAGAAGAAATGGGCTTTGAGTAATCTTTGGGCAGCTCCGTCACTCAGGGGTAAAGGGGTGACAAATCCGTAGGAGGCAAAGCAACAATCTCTGTGCTTCAGTTTCCTTAGCTATAAAATTGAGGATTTGAGGGCCGAGCCCTTGGCGCACTCGGGAGAGTGTGGCGCTGGGAGCGCAGCAGTGCTCCCGCTGCGGGTTCAGATCCTATATAGGGATGGCCGATGTGCTCACTGGCTGAGTGGGGTGCAGCCGGTCTCAAAAAGGACAAAAAAAAAAAAAAAAAATTGAGGATTTGAAAATTTTTATTTAAAAGAAAAACACTCACTCTAAATGATTTACAATCTTCAGAACAATTCTATATGGGTCTAATATTGTCTATGTTTTTATAGATATGGAAACTAAGCACAGAGAATTTAAAGTAGCTTGCTCAAGATCATACAGCTATTTAATGGTGACTTCAAGATTGTAACTCAGGCAGTCTGGCTCCAGAGTTCTTGCTGTTTACCTCTATGCTATGTTAATGACAATATCTACCTCACAGGGTTACTCAAGAAAGTAAGTTAATGTATGCAAAATACTTAGAACAGGGCTCAGTACTTTGAAACCACTATTTAAGTGTTTGCTACTATGATTATGATCCTTCACTGTATATGCACCATATTAGAGTAATCTAATTTTAAAATCTATCTTTGAGCTTCCTCCTTATTTCCTGGTTTTGTATCCTCAGATCCTGGCTCAGATAAATGCTTCCTAAACTAGGAGAAACTTTAAAATATGATCCCTTAAGCTCCTCAGTTCATGCTCCTATTTTCTCTTCTTTTAGACCCAGTATTATTATTTGTAAGTCATTATGCAAACAAAAAGATTGAAATAAAAGTCTGTTATACATCTGAGGAAACTAGACTTCA